GGTGCATTGTTTTCACGGCTATTGTTGTGCAAATTTCATGAAACCGTGGCCCAGTGGAAAAAACTTGGGCATTCATATGTACTGAGTCAAGCCCGGTTGAGGAAGTTAGCAACTGGATGGGTGGCCTAAAAGTTGTACCTACTCAAACTTATGTTTTTACTTTTTCTCTTTTATTTCAATTTTTATTTGAAAATCATAGTATGAATATCGAACTTTACTGTTTTTGCTCTAAATTGGTAATAGCGCCGTAGCGATTTGTCTACTTAAATGCTTTCCTAAGTCTCCGAACGAGAGTTTCTCGCGGCCCTTTTTGTTAAGTGGAACATGTATCAAGTGCGTTGCATACGAAGCACCAACCTTTTTGAAATAGCTGTATACAAGAGATTATGAGGTATTTTAACTCTCTTGCTGTATATCATAGCTAAAATAACAGAAGACATAGAACCTTTTTTATATTCAAAACGTAACCTTAAGTAATTTCACGAGGGAAGGATTATAAATGGACCAAGTGGGTTTTTAAGTGAGAAAAAGACGAACAAACAAAAATAATTGATAAAAAGATTTTATCAAGTTTTTGTTATGATTAAAAGATAATGGTCAATAATTTAATACTTAATAATTATAATATTTTGTAGGTATAGTTATGAAAATTCAACCCCGTTACCCAATGCATTGTGGAAATCATTATTGTTCAACAGATTTTCTACTTTCTCAGAACATTTTCATTACTTTATTTATCAACATTGCATCGAAAAATATCTGAATACCGAAATAGGAAGAATATAGAATCCCGTTTGTAAATATATCATTAAAGTCACTCAAGATTCGTAATACAAGACTAAGGCATGACAGCCATGTTGGTCTACATAACAAGAGAAGCTAACGTGGAATGTTTTGTTAAAGGTCCACCAACATGGCTGCCGTAATGTAACATGCAGTACGCACATCAACATCTTGTCAAATCAGTCAAAGTAAAATCTGTTCCTTTAAAACAGTATTAATGCAACGCGCAAAAAACTCTTCTTCTGATTRGCCCCCTAAAATCTATTTCACCGATAAATATTGACTCCATATTGTCTGAAAGTCTTTGCACACCAAAGTATTTTAGCATTCGCATTGCAACAGCAACAGTATTGTGCATTGCAATATTTATGCAATTCATTTTAGATAATTATCAAAAATCATTGATATCATAGATAGCCTCCCTTTGTCTTTGTCTGGTTTTTCTGACAAGGTCATAATTTGTATCAAATTATATTTGCGTCATAAGTGACATGTCACGGATAATAAAAGTTTCGTTTTCACTGGTAACGCAAGGTCAGTATAAGACCAATATGGCGTAATGCGTGACAATAAAAAAGTATGCAAAAGGATATAGAAGGATTTAGAAACGTTATGTAGAGTAATGAAACAAGGAGTACGATTGCGCTTGCGCGTGTCGAGCTCGTGAGACTCTTGTTTACGCGTATGCGTCATCAGTAAAAACCAACTTTCTGATCGTTTAATAGTTTTGATACCGTAGACAGAACAGGAACAGCCCATGCTGAGTAAAGTTATTATTGCTTGGTTTCAATTTTATACGATCTATTTTTACCATCACTTTCACCAGGGCTGTCATCATCATCATCATCATCATCGCCTGGTCCTATTCCTGCTCCACTACCAGGCCGTGGAGTCTTGTTCTCAATAGCATCCGGATCCTTACAGTCACAGTCTTCTTTACACCAGGGTGGGATTCGCAAGACCAGGCGACGTTTAGAGGTAGAGAGACAACAATCCCCACCATCCCACCGACAGTGCTTGTTGTTATTTTGTCTGTCACATGAACCATCACCGATGTCCACGCCACACTTAGGAAGACAGATAATCATGCGGGGATCTGGGTCCCAGTTATGTTTGTCATTGCATTTGATTGACACATCCCACTTGTGTTCTTCGCCCTGTAGATCAAGAAGTCAACGGTTCAACCACGGCCAAACACTACTATAAACATCACCAATATTGGGTACAAGAGAGGAAGCGCCTTCAATATTCGCTTTGCTTTATTGCGTGTTTAACCACGGCCAAACACTACTATAAACATCACCAATATTGGGTACAAGTGAGGAAGGACCTTCAACATTCGCTTTGCTTTATAAAACCCATTGCTATTTTTTGACGATTTATGAAGGTCGATAACAAAAAGCATGTACCTGCGCTTTCAAACAGATGTCTTGCCAGCACTGCAATTGGATGTTTACATTTTGAAGCTTTGTGATTGGCTAAGCCAAACTGATCGTTTGAAAGTAGTATTTTATCCTCACTGCATACTCATTACCGAGTCACGGGAATTAAGATATGGAAGGTGACCGCGACTGCTGGCAATGAGCATGCGAAAAGCATGCGATGCGTCGTCAACCGCCACCAGGGGAGGTGGGTGGGGTGAATCTTCTACTCTCTCCTTGGGCAGCTTCCGACGGAATGAATCAAGGATCTGGGTGTGGCGCTTATATATGGAAGGGTCGCAAAGCATTACACCCGCACTGCGCAAACTCCAATGTCCATAAATGGGGGGTTGCAAAATTCCTACGTGACACGCTAATTATGTATGCAGTGAGAATAGCAGCCATTTAATAATTAAAATGTAAAACTTGCGGGTCTTAACGAGTTGAGTTACCTTGACGACAGCATCATGGTTGAGCTTCAAACATTTGACTTTACAAGTTTCTTCCAAGCCATATTCATCACAAACAAAGCTAAGACCAGGAGCTTCTAGTTTACTGCACGACTTTGCTGACTTGCATTTGATAAATTTTGGACTCCACTCCAAGTTGATACCACACTTGACTTGATGCGTCTATGAGGAATGGAAAATAGAAAACTGTTTCACGTGACAAGTACTAAAATAACCCCCATCTACCACTCAATTTGCTTGAACTTTTATCCATAAGTCATCGGACGCGTTTGTACATAAATGTAAGAATTACCTTTTCGCTGGGACATAAAGAAGTACAAACACTGCCAGGAACATTGCCATTAGAACAGTTATACCAGCGGAGAATATGAGGTGAAGGAAGTTTACATGTCATTGGCTCGCAGCGAGAGTTCAAAGTCCACTTGCCTTCTTTTGTGCAACGTATTTTTAAGGTCTTTCGTGATGACGAACGTCTGTCTTTCACAAGTCTGTATCCAGGTTCACAACGGAATTTACAAGCCATCCCTGGGTAAAACCTCTTTTGTTTGCCGTCCATACAAGTATTGCTATTCGAGAGAGGTACTGAGTTCAACGGGACTGTAGGAGGTGCGCATGTGCTTACACAGAATGACCGCTGTACGGACCATTTGTTGTCGTCTTCGCATGTTATTGAGTTGTCCTTGCCGTTCCTTTTGGCGTGTTGGATGCAATGAAAAGTGCAAACTGCACCAAAGAGAGTTCCTTTGGGACAATCTGAAATATTTGAACCGTGATAAAAATGCCAGAAGATGAAAAGCAAAAAAAAAAAAAAAAAAAATTCAAAATTTCAAAAAACTATTTCAAAAAATTTAAAGTAATTACTACGCATGCGCCTTCCCATCCCATTCTCATCCTTTTCTCTTCCCATTCCCACTGATGAAAATCAATCATACCTGGTTTAGCATTTGGGATCTTTGGTATTCCACAATTCACTGGGAGACACTTCTTCACAGCTCCTCTCCACTTCCCATGCAAACAAAGCAATTTGAAGGAACTTCGAGGAAGATAACCCTTTGCGCATGTCACAGTACACCGCTGACCTTCTTCATTGCCTTCGCATTTGATAGTTCCGCGCTTGATGACCAGCGGTTTACAGGATGGTTTGACGCATGCGTATTTGTGGCATTTCTGTGTACGAGGGTTGAAAACTTCGTCTGGACGACACGCTGCCATGGCAACTGGATCGACTTTAGTAAGCGAGCGTAGAGCGACGCCTGCGATGGCGATCATGAAGGATCTGAACTTGATACGAACCTATGCAATCAGAAAACATCACAATTACATATTCGTGGTTTTAACCCATTATGAGAATTACTCCACAATCACAGCGAAAGAGGTTTGCTTTTGGGGCTTAAAAAATAGCACATTTCAGGCAGCTAAGAGAATCAACCGCTCTGGTTTTTTAAAAAGTGAACGGAGCATTTGGGATAAATCATATGTATATAAATACAATGGTGTAATGGTCAGACGCGATATAATTTCATTAATAAGGAAGTAACAGATTACTTATAATCCATTATTAATGATCGACTCAGTGATGCCTCGGTCAAGCATTGCGGGAGTCACTCTCCTGCTGTAAAAGACTAAAAACGATCAGATGTACAAAGATAGTCGGCCACCCACCTTCTGGCTGTAGAAGAATTCTTTAGTCATATCATGTTGTACTGGGATGATAGCAGGGTTAGTCTTACAAGACAGATTCACTGGATTACTGCCTGTTGGGTGTTTGTTGCCATTTGTATCGATTAATTCTGCCTAAAAATAAAAAAAAGTTAGTTTTTCAATTTGCAGCTGCATAAGTTGCTTCATATACTGCGAGGATCAGCTCAATTTGATAATTCTGCTTAATAAGGTGAATAGAAAATATTGCATTGATTATTAATGGCTTCTACTGGAATGTGACACGAGAGGATACCACCTTTGATACCGTCAAATGTTATCGATACCCTGGAACAAACTCTGGGCTGATCAAAGTCAGGGCATGGCTAACTCACAGATCGAATTGGAATTTAGCGTGAAAACCAGAGAACCCGGGGGGAAAACTCGGCAAAAATTTCGCAAAAATCTCTTATTCATAATTATATTTCTTTGCTCATTTTCCATTCTTCCCAGTCTGATCAGTGTTCTGAAATGTGAACCCATAACACACGATGGAATGCATTCTTCAAGTCATTTAATCAAGCCGTCATCTACTCTGTTTCAAGTCACCCCATACGCCGAATATATATATATAAACTTAAACTTAAACTTAAACTTATATATAAACTTATATATATTTTACAACCACCACTCCCCAAACGGGGCTTCTTCCGTGAGGTTCCCTCCACACGCACTACCACTACGTTCTATATTTACAACATACGACACTCAACTCACATGTTGCTTTTTAAGGAGGGAGGAAACCGGAGATCCCGGAGAAAACCCTCGTGGCAAGGGAGAGAACAACGCATCAAACAAACTCAACTCACATATGATCCAGTCTGAGCCAGGACTCGAACACGGACCACAGTGGTGAGAGGCGAGCGGTAAACCACTACACCACCCATGCCACCCACCCGAATCGAAATATGGTGAACATTTTAAACAACTATTGTTCTGGATTGACTAGCCTCTCTTACATGTGAAATTCCACGTGAACACGAGGCTAGGCAGTCCAGAACAATAGTTATTCAAATTGATTGCCATATTTGATTCGGTGTTCGGAACGGGAGTCTGACATGAGAATAACTATACCAAGCTGTACCCTTTGCCTTTCCCAGGGTGTTTATTCCTTCTTTACCTCAACAGTTTTGATGAATTCACTGTATGTTGTCTGTCCGTCCGCTGCGATGTAAATCACCACAGCAGCGGGAACAACAGGCCGTTCAAACACGACGTCAAGCCAGTAATCCTCATCGCTGTATCTATGACCACAGGGAGCCCATGAAGTCCCTGTTTCTGGGCGCACCTTATGCTTACACACCTTAAACACAAAATGTTGTATTTAATAGATACATTCTTCATATATGTATGTAAAAGGAAAAAAGAAAGATCCCGCGGTAATCCCGTAACCCCTCCAAACCTCATCAGTCCCGAACAGAGTTTATTCTTTCATATAATTTCTCCAAAAAGTTTTTAGATCCTAATCCCGTGGGAATTCCGTTCAACAATTGCAAACTGAATAATACAGTTAGTACTGTAACGACTGATTCCTTGCAAGAACACTAGACTACATTCTTGATGTTTTTTTTGCCCTGTTCAGAGCCAGAGGTTAAGGTTAGAGTGATGATAGGCGGTCCTCAAATGATATTTCACCAAGGCTGATGAAATGAATAGTGAGGCGGTCCTCAAATGATATTTCACCAAGGCTGATGAAATGAATAGTAAGGTGCTGCAAACCACAACTGAGTTATGCCCTGTCAAAACTACGAAATAAGCTGTTCTTTACAAGGCGAAAACTAGTTCTACAAGTGATAGTATTCAGAAGAGAGGTATCATTTTCAGGCGGGATTACTGTAGAGATCACCTATTGAGGATAACGGAAGAGATTATAACTGTTAAGCAAGATTAGTCAAGTATTCAGTCTGTACGTGCTTCGTAAACAAAGACGATGACAATATGAGAAGCTGGGTCAAGAAACAACAAACCAAGTCATGATTACGGTTTAAGATATCAGGGGAATGGTTCAAAAAGATATTCCTATCTACATAGGCATGTATATTCGTATGAGATAGGCAACCGGCAGTCTGAAAGAGTATTTCAAAGTGAATATCAGAATAAACGTTGGTATGGTAGTGTGAATGAGAAGGGGCGAGCACACCCATGTAGATATTTCTTTCTCTAATTCAGACCACCGCATGTGGGGAGATATTTTGACCAAAGTTGATATTAAAAAGGCATCTAACAGCTGTTGACATTACTGATTCAATAATATTTTTTTCGCCTGGAGTGAGTCACTTAGTGAAAACGTTGCTTTGGTGTCTTAGAGAGTCGGTAGATGACACAGAACACTTTGAAATAGAACAGCAGGACAGACGTGGGAAAACTAACATTTGAGACTAAATATACAGAAAGAAAGAAAGAAAGAAAGAAAGAAAGAAAGAAAGAAAGAAAGAAA